CGTGAAATTTATCGAAAATCTAAGGTACAGCTGCATTAGTGCATTACAATTAAATAGTGAACATTGCTTTCTGACTTCATTCTTTAACTCCCCAACTAACAATATTTTTTTCTGTTTCAGATTCTGATGCATTTATAAGTTGATAATATTTGCGATGGCTGCTTGTGTCAGGACGAGGAACCAAAAATCCAGCCATGTCAGTCACTATCTTGGGTCTGGGAGAGAGCTCCTGAAGTCGGAGTTGCCTACATTGAGAGATGCTTTGAGATACGGTGTTTTAATCAGGCAAATCAGTGAAAAGAACCAAAGAACTTACACAAACAAAGACATTGCCAGTGATATGACCAAAGCTGTCTTGGCACAGTACACTCTGGCTAACGCTCAGTTCAAGCCTCCAGTCATAACAAGTCAGAAGAAGATTAGTGAGAGACTGCAGCCAGTTGGGAAAAGGCAAGAGATATCTCTCTTGGGAGAGGAAAACTTGCAGTTATGACAGCTTTGCCAAGCAACTGGACCAGTTATTTGACATAATTACTTGCAAGTGCCCAATTGTTCTCTGTCCTGAGTTTGGATGCGATCGTGACTGTAAATCCGAGGCCCATCTCCTGTATTTGCAAGCGTGAACTGAAGATTCCTGTGATCGAACTGGCATTTGTCAAAGCACAGAGAGAGAAGACTGGCATATATAGGGGCTCTCATGATTTCTAGCCAAGATATTCCGGAGTCCAAGAGACAGGAGGCTGCCACAGAGAGACAGAAGAGGAGAAGAGTTGCCGAGGAAAAGAGACTTGAGAAGGCCCAGGGTGAGGTAAAAAAGGCCGATGATTGGAGTCAAGCTGATTCAGAGTTTAATGACTTCCCCATGGCTGATCCGAGTGCTGACCAGGAGAATGGTGACTTTGTCCCTAACCCAGAAAATAATGATCCCAAACCTTCCAGGCATAAGATTCGAAATAGGAAAGATATCCCGAGCATAGCTCTGGCCAGCATGCGACACCACACTGGTCTCAGAGAAACTGCAGAGATAGCAACAGCTGCCTGGATTGACGGTGGTTTGATAACACCTGATGATGTTCACCTGGTGATAGATCATAACAAAGTAAGGAGAGCTCAGGAGAAACTTGTCAGTAACCCAGAAGAGGAGTCAATTGTTTGTTCTTTGATGGGAGAAGGGATGACACTAAAGTGTTCATGAAAGTTGGAGATTCTGACAAGTTGTTCCCTGCCATGGTGAAGGAGGAACACTACTCCTGCTGCAGTGAACCAGGAGGGAAGTATTTGTGGCATTTCACTCCAGAGAAAGATGACATCAGGAAACCAGCTGAGATAGTGGCAGATAACATTGTGAACTGGCTCAGAGAGAGGAACGTAGACCAGACCCTGCAGGCCATTGGAGGGGACAGCACCAACACGAACACAGGGTGGCAAGGGGGGGTCATACAGTGGATAGAGCGGAAGATTGGGAGGAAGCTGGTCTGGATTGTTTGTGACCTCCACACCAACGAGTTGCCACTCAGACATCTGATCCAGGAGCTGGATGGCAAGACTCTTTCAAACAACAGATGGTCTGGTCCTCTTGGCAAGATGCTGGATTCTGCCACTGAGTTAGAAATAAATCCGAGCTTTGAAAAAATCACAGTTGGCCCTCCACTCGTTGAGCTTGCACATACTGTCATTGACGACCTGAGTACTGACCAGTACTATGGTTACATGATTTGCAGTGCCATGAAAACTGGGGTCATGCCTGATAGACTTGCTTACCTGCAGATAGGTCCAGTCTCACATTCTAGGTGGCTCACAACGGCTCTCAGGTTCTGCAGAATTTGGGTCGCTCATCATAAACTGAAAGGGAACCAGCTTCACAACCTGAGACTTATTGTCCAATTCATCGTGAGTGTCTACTTGCCAAATTGGTTCAACACCAAGGTCAAGTCATCGTTCTCCGAAGGTCCGAGGCATGTTCTCTTCCAGCTTGAGCTCCTGAGGAGTCAGCCAAGGAAGGTTGTTCAGATTGTGGAGCAGACTGTGAGGAGATCTTCCTGGTATGCTCATCCCGAGGCAGTTCTGCAGACACTGCTCTGCAGTAAGGATGAGGAGGAGAGAAGAGTGGCAGTCAAAAAGATCTTGGATATGAGACTTATGAGAGGATCTGGGCATGACGAATCAGTTGGTGACGATTCCTTCAGGGTCAGGAAGACTCCTGAAGTCAATCTAGGTGCCAAGACCCTCACTGATCTCATAGATCTGGATAACATCCTGTAGCCTCACCAATGTTCAAGTCAGAGCTTTCCTGGACAACCCCATGCATGGCGCTGCCTGGCCCTCGCACACCCAGAATATAGAGCGTTGTGTACAGCAAGTGAGCGAGGCCAGCAGTCACGTGTACAGCCAGGAGAGGAGGGAAGGCTACATCCGAGCTCAGGTGGTCAGCAGGGAGGTGATGAGTAGAAACAGAAGCATGAAAGACATGTTCTCTATGGTGTGCAGCAAGCAACACCGGGTCGTAGTAGTAAAACCGGTTTTTGTATTTGATGATTTTGTTTTCTAAAGGAATATTAAATTTAATAAATGTGTCAAGATCATTCGTTTCACTATTCTGGATCATTTTCATCCTAATAAATTAACCTGATACATTTACTTTACTTTAAATAAGCTATTTAGTGGTGTTGGTAAAAGGGTGGGAATACTGAATTTTCATAAGATTTCAAGTTAAAATTTACCTAGCAAAAAATGAAAACTTTTCAAATCTGAAGATATCACATGATTCTGCACATAGAACTACATCATTAATACCATGGGCCGATTTTTCAAACTCAAAAAAAAAAAATCGCCTCCGTATGACACACCCTACTGGGGTAAGGCTTCACGCTATATGATGAAGGAACTGGGGGGAAGCTTGGCACTAGCTGATCACGGGGCTGGGGGGAGTTTTTACAAGAGCTGACCACGGGGTTAGGAGGAAGCTTGATAAGCGCTGACCACGTGGTAGAGAGGAGGCTGGACCTTGTTAGCCACGGGGCTTCACAATCACAACATAACATAATTTCGGAAAAAATAGATTCTTTTTAACTTCATTTTGTTGTCATGGGAACATCACAACTGTGCATGAAAAGATACATGAACTTGTATTATAATAGTGGACACAGACGTAAGTTTAATACTAAGCATAACAAAGTGAGAGGAAATACACAGGAGAAAAATTGAGATTGGTTTTAAAGGGGAGACGATCGCGTCAATTTTGTTTATTAAATTTCTTTTGGATCACTTGAAGAATCTCCACCCCAGCGCTACCTGTGGTGGAGATTCCTCATGTAATCATTTCTTTAATCCATGTGAGGGCGATAAACAATGCGAGGGTTAGAGGTGTGTGTGGGGGGGGGTCGAGGTACTGAATGTATTAAGGTTCTGTGAGGATTATGATGAGCGTGTGGGTGAGTTGGTCGTGTAGGTGGCGTGGTCATTTGGATGGAGTGGTCATGTGGGTGGGATGGTCATATGGGTGGAATGGTCATGTGGATGGTGTTGTCGAATGGGTGTGGGTACAATGAAATTGTGGGTGAGGTGGTTGTGTGGGTGAAATGGTCGTGTGGATGACGTAGTCGTGAGGGTGAGGTGGTCGTGTGGGTGAGGTGGTCGTGTGAGTGAGGTGGTCGTGTGTGTGAGGTGGTCGTGTGGGTGGGGTAGTCGTGTGGGAGGGGTGGTGTAGGCATGTGAGTGGGATGGTCATATGGGTGGAGTGATCGTATGGGCTGGGTGGGAACCTGTTATTATGGTACACAGAGGCTGGAGCAGACACAATGTAGATGTTATCAAGCGCCGCTGTCTGCCACTCACCATTAGCGAGTATAAGACCACCCATCACTAGCACCTCCGCCCCTCACCCTCACACGGGGTGAAGGTGCGCCGCTCACCTGCACAGCTGAGCATACTTAAGTCCTGCCTGACCAAACAGGTCTGCCATATATAGGACAGGTACATCTAGATAACTTTTTTTTAGGAAATAGATATCTAGACAATTTCTTGACCAGTGACAATGCTGCGTTTTTTCACACCATTCATTTTACTGAGTAGAACTGAGTGATGGCAGTGTTAGGTATCTTAAAACAAAGAAACTGGGTTAATAATAAATATACTATTGTAAAATACTATTACTAATAATAATAATAATAACAATAATACCAACAATATTTATAATATTATCATTAATAACATTCGAGTTGACACAGCTGATTTAGTTGAAGGGGAGAGCTATTTCATAATTTCTGGATCAATTTATATTATTTTGTAAAGTTTTATAGAAAATGTGTGTGTGTGTGTGTGTGTGTGTGTGTGTGTGTGTGTGTGTGTGTGTGTTACAGAGGATTCTAGCTTCTAACTCACAGGAAATGTCCTTGGAAGTTTGTCTGGTGACCGTCCACACTGCCAAGGGTTCCCTCAGATTTTTTTTTTTTTGCTGGTGCTGGACCTTGTCTGCAGGGTGACCTTACTGTATACATGACGAAAATGAAAGACGCTGCCATAGACCTGACGGCTCGTTAGGGAGACTGTGGACAGAGCACATAGTACAACAATCCCTTACCACACAAGGAGGAGGCGTTGCCGACACTGCACTCGACTGCTTTTAATTAACCCAACTGCAAAGCTAAGTACCCTTTTATAGATGGGTTAAGTGGGAGCATTCTGGGTATGAACCAGCGATGCTTAAGACAGTAGCGAGCACTGTACCTACTTGGCCTCCACACCCCATATTATATAGGGTAATCATAATCAACTAGATTTCGAAACTGCGCCATATAATTATTAAAATCATCCCAGCCAAAAAGTTTAATTTAGTTGAAAGTTATCTTTACACACCAGTCGTCTAATATTTACCTGGGAAGCTGTGTGTGTCTGCTCTCCTGTCTCCGTCGGAAGATTTCTGACTATTCATTCTCAAACGCCTTCATCAGTACCGTTACAGAGGGATTTAGTGTGAGTGTGGTGGCTTCAAAGGTTCAGCCTCAGCGTATCTTAGTCTCTGTCTGCAATGATGATGGGATTCCTAGTGCACAGTACATGTGCGACTCAGAGGCCTGCGGAAACAGGATTATAAACAAAATGGCTGATGTCAGTACTTCGTTAATAAGTTACGTGTATGGCCATTAATCTTCATTATATTTTTATTTTGTGTGCCTTAACGTTTGTGTTCCTTAGGTGGGTATAACTCTCCTGTACAGTCTATTATGCTTAGTATATTATTTACTTACACAAGGCTGGCCGAGCTTCAAAGGCGGTCGTGACCTGCCTTTTCATCATGGTGTGTGGGGCTGGACGACGCCCCTCACACCTTCAACTTATCCACCACTAGCTTTTTACCTTCCACTCACATTCCACTTAACCACAACTTGTCCTAACCTTCCACTTACTCACAACTTGTCCTTACCTTCCACTTACCCACCACTTGCCCTTACCTTTCACTTACCTTTAATTACCCACCACTTGCCTTACTTCCCATTTACCTGACACCGCCACCACCACCACAACTCATACCCAACACTTACAGTATAGCGAGCTACCACTTACTCTCATTATGTCTTTTAACCACTTAATATTCGTCACTTGCTTGGTATTTGTCTAAGAAAAAAGTGAGTCACCTCTAACCCATAATTATCGTTTTTATACCACGGTCACCTGCCTACCCCTTACCCACCGTATATCACCACCCAACGAATCACTTTATCGACTCTTCCATCTTCACCATCAATATTTACCACAATTTTCCCCACTGCTTACACTGGCCCACCCACTACTTGGCCACTACTGACTAACTTTATGCACCACTTAGCCATTACACGCACCACTTAACCCTAATTTACCACCACCACTTACGCGTCACATACCCATCACCAAATAACCACTTACCTAACACCCTTCCGTCATCTACCTACCACTTATTCAATACTTATTCAGCACTAACACACCACTAACTTAATTCTTATCCTCCACAACCTCACCACTTACCACTTAGCCACCACACCCATTCACCACTTACCAACCACTTAGAGTACATACCACTAACCCCACATTTACCCTCCATATCCTTGCCAACTTACTACTCAGCCACAACCAACCACCACATACTATTTAAGAGAGACGCCAGCTTAATAAAATTTCTTGACAAAAATTCTTCTTACTATTGAATAAAGTTTTAGTTTTCATTTACCAAAATTAATTTCAGGGATAATTTTTGTTTTGTATTTTTTTTTTTTATTCAATGAAGTAACACATAAACTTGGCTGGGCGATGGTGGCCGCCATGTTTGTTTGCGTTACACAGCACAAGAAGGGAACCAAACAAACTGAGCCAAAAAGAGCAAACTGAACTTAGCCTATTATACTGAATCTAACCACGCACAGCAAACCTTAAAACCATCTTGGCGTCTACCATATTGATGTTTACCATTATGGTGTATACCATCATGGTGTATACCATCATGTTGTATACCACCATGGTATACACCATGATGGTGTATACCACCATGGCATTTACCATCATGGCGTTTACCATCATAGCGTTTACCATCATAGCGTTTACCATCATGGCTTCTACCATCATGGCTTCTACCATCATAGTGTATACCATCATGGCTTCTACCATCATGGCTTCTACCATCATGGCTTCTACCATCATGGTGTATACCATCATGGTGTATACCACCATGGCGTATACCATCATGGTATAAACAATCGTGGTGTGCACCATCATGGCGTCTACCATATTGGTGTATACCATCATGGTATATACAATTGTGGTGTATACCACACAATGTTTACTCACCACTTACCCACCACACAACGCTTACCCGCCACACAACGCTTACCCACCACTTACCCACCACACAATGCTTTCCCACCACTTACCCACCACACAATGCTTACCCACCACTTACCCACCACACAACGCTTACCCACCACTTACCTACGATATTTCCCAACTTTTAACCATTACTCATTAACCATTAACTATTGGTATATTCCTGTAAATTTTTTCTTCTATCCTACCTCTTACTTCCCACTTAACTACCTTTTTCCTAAAACTTACCTACTTCTTACCTAAGACTTACCTACTTCTTTCCTATCAGTTACCTTCTTCTTGCATACCTTTCCTTACCGTTACCTTCCAATTACCTACCTCTTTCCTACCACTTACCTATATCTTACCTACCTCTTTCCTTCCTTTTACCTACCACTTACTTACCTCTTATCTCTTTCCTACCAGTTACTTACCTCTCTCCTAACACTTACCTACTTCTTACCTAAGACTTACCTACTTCTTATGTACCACTTACCTACCTCTTTCCTACCACTAACCTACATCTTACCTAATTCTTTCCTACCACTTACCTACATCTTACCTACCACTTTCCTGCCACTTACCTACGTCTTATCTAACACTTTACAATTTTTACCACTTAATTTTTTCCTTACCCACCACTTACCCATCTCGTACCCGCCACTGACTAATGATGGGAGTTTATTCACTAAAGTGGGAGTGTACTGACTAATGATTGGGGTATACCGACTAATGATGGGAGTGTACTGACTAATGATTGGAGTGTGCTGACTAATGATGGGAGTGTACTGACTAATGATGGGAGTGTGCTGACTAATGGTGGGAGTGTACTGACTAATGATTGGGGTGTACTGACTAATGATGGGATTGTACTGACTAATGATGGGAGTGTGCTGACTAATGGTGGGAGTGTACTGACTAATGATTGAGGTGTACTGAGTAATGATGGGAGTGTACTGACTAATGATGGGAGTGTGCTGACTAATGGTGGGAGTGTACTGACTAATGATTGGGGTGTACTGACTAATGATGGGAGTGTACTGACTAATGATGGGAGTGTACTGACTAATGATTGGGGTGTACTGAGTAATGATGGGAGTGCACTGACTAATGATGGGAGTGTACTGACTAATGAGTGGGGTGTACTGACTAATGATTGGGGTGTACTGACTAATGATGGGAGTGTACTGACTAATGAGTGGGGTGCACTGACTAATGATTGGGGTGTACTGACTATGGGGAGTACTGACTAATGATGGGAGTCTACTGACTAATGATTGGGGTGTGCTGATGGGAGTGTACTGACTAATGAGTGTGCTGACTAATGGTGGGAGTGTACTGACTAATGATTGGGGTGTACTGAGTAATGATGGGAGTGCACTGACTAATGATGGGGAGTGTACTGACTAATGAGTGGGTGTGTAATGATTGGGGTGTACTGACTAATGATGGGAGTGTACTGACTAATGATAAGTGTACTGACTAATGGTGGAGTGTACTGACTAATGATTGTTGTACTGAGTAACGATGGTAGTGTACTGACTAATGATGGGAGTGTACTGACTAATGATGGGAGTGTACTGACTAATGATGACTGACTAATGATGGAGTGTACTGACTAATGATGGGGAGTGTACTGACTAATGGTGGGAGTGTACTGACTAATGATGGAAGTGTACTGACTAATGGTGGGAGTGTACTGACTAATGATTGGGGTTTACTGACTAATGATGGGAGTGTACTGATTAATGATGGGAGTGCACTGACGAGTAATGAGAGTATGCTGACTAATCATGGAAGTGTGCTGAATAATGTTGGGAGTGTATTGACTAATGATGGGAGTGTACTATCTAATGATGGGAGTGTACTGACTAATGATGGGAGTGTACTGTCTAATGATGGGAGTGAACTGACGAGTAATAGGAGTATGCTGACTAATTATGGAAGTGTACTGAATAATGTTGGGAGTGTATTGACTAATGATGGGAGTGTACTGACTAATGATGGGAGTGTATTGACTAATGATGGGAGTGTACTGACTAATGATGGGAGTGTACTGACTAATGGTGGGAGTGTACTGACTAATGATGGAAGTGTACTGACTAATGATGTGGACTAATGAGTGTACTGACTAATGATTGGGGTTTACTGACTAATGATGGGAGTGTACTGATTAATGATGGGAGTGCACTGACGAGTAATGAGAGTATGCTGACTAATCATGGAAGTGTGCTGAATAATGTTGGGAGTGTATTGACTAATGATGGGAGTGTACTGTATAATGATGGGAGTGTACTGACTAATGATGGGAGTGTACTGTCTAATGATGGGAGTGAACTGACGAGTAATGAGAGTATGCTGACTAATCATGGAAGTGTACTGAATAATGTTGGGAGTGTATTGACTAATGATGGGAGTGTACTGACTAATGATGGGAGTGTACTGACTAATGATGGGAGTGTACTGTCTAATGATGGGAGTGTACTGTCTAATGATGGGAGTGTACTGACTAATGATGGGAGTGTACTGACTAATGTTGGGAGTGTATTGACTAATGATGGGAGTGCACTGACGAGTAATAGGAGTATGCTGACTAATTATGGAAGTGTACTGAATAATGTTGGGAGTGTATTGACTAATGATGGGAGTGTACTGACTAATGATGGGAGTGTATTGACTAATGATGGGAGTGTACTGACTAATGATGGGAGTGTACTGACTAATGGTGGGAGTGTACTGACTAATGATGGAAGTGTACTGACTAATGGTGGGAGTGTACTGACTAATGATTGGGGTTTACTGACTAATGATGGGAGTGTACTGATTAATGATGGGAGTGCACTGACGAGTAATGAGAGTATGCTGACTAATCATGGAAGTGTGCTGAATAATGTTGGGAGTGTATTGACTAATGATGGGAGTGTACTGTATAATGATGGGAGTGTACTGACTAATGATGGGAGTGTACTGTCTAATGATGGGAGTGAACTGACGAGTAATGAGAGTATGCTGACTAATCATGGAAGTGTACTGAATAATGTTGGGAGTGTATTGACTAATGATGGGAGTGTACTGACTAATGATGGGAGTGTACTGACTAATGATGGGAGTGTATGACTGTGGGAGTGTACTGTCTGTGATGGGGAGTGTACTGACTAATGATTACTGACTAATGACAGTGTACTGACGAGTAATGAGTGTACTGACTATGATGGGAGTGTACTGACTAATGGGGAGTGTACTGACTAATGATGGGAGTGAACTGACGAGTAATGGGAGTATGCTGACTAGTGATGGGAGTGTACTGAATAATGTTGGGAGTGTATTGACTAATGATGGGAGTGTACTGACTAATGATGGGAGTGTACTGACTAATGATGGGAGTGCACTGACGAGTAATGGGAGTATGCTGACTAGTGATGGGAGTGTACTGAATAATGTTGGGAGTGTATTGACTAATGATGGGAGTGTACTGTCTAATGATGGGAGTGTACTGACTAATGATGGGAGTGCACTGACTAATGATGGGAGTGAACTGACGAGTAATGGGAGTATGCTGACTAATGATGGGAGTGTACTGACTAATGATGGGAGTGTACTGACTAATGATGGGAGTGAACTGACGAGTAATGGGAGTATGCTGACTAGTGATGGGAGTGTACTGAATAATGTTGGGAGTGTATTGACTAATGATGGGAGTGTACTGACTAATGATGGGAGTGCACTGACGAGTAATGGGAGTATGCTGACTAATTATGGAAGTGTACTGAATAATGTTGGGAGTGTACTGAATAATGATGGGAGTGTACTGAATAATGTTGGGAGTGTATTGACTAATGATGGGAGTGTACTGACTAATGATGGGAGTGCACTGACGAGTAATGGGAGTATGCTGACTAATTATGGAAGTGTACTGAATAATGTTGGGAGTATACTGAATAATGATGGGAGTGTATTGACTAATGATGGCAGTGTACTGTCTAATGATGGGAGTGTACTGACTAATGATGGGAGTGTACTGTCTAATGATGGGAGTGAACTGACGAGTAATGGGAGTGTACTGACTAATGATGGGAGTGTACTGACTAATGATGGGAGTGTACTGACGAGTAATGGGAGTATACTGACTAATGATGGAAGTGTACTGAATAATGTTGGGAGTGTATTGACTAATGATGGGAGTGTACTGACTAATGATGGGAGTGTACTGACTAATGATGGGAGTGTTCTGACTAATGATGGGAGTGCACTGACGAGTAATGGGAGTATGGTGACTAATGATGGGAGTGTACTGAATAATGTTGGGAGTGTATTGACTAATGATGGGAGTGTACTGTCTAATGATGGGAGTGTACTGACTAATGATGGGAGTGTACTGACTAATGATGGGAGTGTACTGTCTAATGATGGGAGTGTACTGTCTAATGTTGGGAGTGTATTGACTAATGATGGGAGTGTATTGACTAATGATGGCAGTGTACTGTCTAATGATGGCAGTGTACTGAATAATGTTGGGAGTGTATTGACTAATGATGGGAGTGTACTGTCTAATGATGGGGGTGTACTGACTAATGATGGGAGTGTACTGTCTAATGATGGGAGTGAACTGACGAGTAATGGGAGTATGCTGACTAATTATGGAAGTGTACTGAATAATGTTGGGAGTGTATTGACTAATGATGGGAGTGTACTGACTAATGATGGGAGTGTACTGACTAATGATGGGAGTGTACTGACGAGTAATTGGAGTATGCTGACTAATGATGGGAGTGTACTGAATAATGTTGGGAGTGTATTGACTAATGATGGGAGTGTACTGTCTAATGATGGGAGTGTACTGAATAATGTTGGGAGTGTATTGACTAATGATGGGAGTGTACTGTCTAATGATGGGAGTGTACTGTCTAATGATGGGAGTGAACTGACGAGTAATGGGAGTATGCTGACTAATGATGGGAGTGTACTGACTAATGTTGGGAGTGTATTGACTAATGATGGGAGTGTACTGTCTAATTAAATTGTACTCCTAATGGGGAGTGTACTGACTAGTAATGGGAGTGTACTGACTAATGATGGGAGTGTACTGGGATGGGAGTGTACTGTCAAATGATGGGAGTATACTAACTAATGTTGGGAGTGTACTGACTAATGATGGGAGTGTACTGACTAATGATGGGAGTGCACTGACTAATGACGGGAGTGCACTGACTAATGATGGGAGTGTACTGACGAGTAATGGGAGTATACTAACTAATGTTTGGAGTGTACTGACTAATGATGGGAGTGTAATGACGAGTAATGGGAGTATACTAACTAATGATGGGAGTGTACTGTCAAATGATGGGAGTGTACTGACGAGTAATGGGAGTATACTAACTAATGTTGGGAGTGTACTGACTAATGATGGGAGTGTACTGACTAATGATGGGAGTGCACTGACTAATGACGGGAGTGCACTGACTAATGATGGGAGTGTACTGACGAGTAATGGGAGTATACTAACTAATGTTGGGAGTGTACTGACGAGTAATGGGAGTGTACTGACTAATGATGGGAGTGCACTGACGAGTAATGGGAGTATGCTGACTAATGATGGGATTGTACTGAATAATGTTGGGGGTGTATTGACTAATGATGGGAGTGTACTGACTAACGATGGGAGTGTACTGACTAATGGTGGGAGTGTACTGACTAATGATGGGAGTGCACTGACTAATGACGGGAGTGTACTGACGAGTAATGGGAGTGTACTGACTAATGATGGGAGTGAACTGACGAGTAATGGGAGTATGCTGACTAATGATGGGAGTGTACTGACTAATGATTGGGGTTTACTGACTAATGATGGGAGTGTACTGACTAATGATGGAGGTACTGACGAGTAATGGGAGTATGCTGACTAATGATGGGAGTGTACTGACTAATGATTGGGGTTTACTGACTAATGATGGGAGTGTACTGACTAGTGATGGGAGTGAGATGAGGAACTGGAGTAGGGAGTATGCTGACTAATGATGGGAGTGTACTGACTAATGATTGGGGTTTACTGACTAATGATGGGAGTGTACTGACTAATGATGGGAGTGTACTGACGAGTAATGGGAGTATGCTGACTAATTATGGAAGTGTACTGAATAATGTTGGGACTGAATTGACTAATGATGGGAGTGTACTGACTAATGATGGGAGTGCACTGAATAGTGATGGGAGTGTATTGACTAATGATGGGAGTGTACTGTCTAATGATGGGAGTGTACTGACTAATGATGGGAGTGTACTGACTAATGATGGGAGTGCACTGACGAGTAATGGGAGTATGCTGACTAATTATGGAAGTGTACTGAATAATGATGGGAGTGTATTGACTAATGATGGGAGTGTACTGTCTAATGATGGGAGTGCACTGAATAGTGATGGGAGTGTATTGACTAATGATGGGAGTGTACTGTCTAATGATGGGAGTGTACTGACTAATGATGGGAGTGCACTGACGAGTAATGGGAGTATGCTGACTAATTATGGAAGTGTACTGAATAATGTTGGGAGTGTATTGACTAATGATGGGAGTGTACTGTCTAATGATGGGAGTGTACTGACTAATGATGGGAGTGTACTGTCTAATGTTGGGAGTGTATTGACTAATGATGGGAGTGTACTGTCTAATGATGGGAGTGTACTGTCTAATGATGGGAGTGTACTGTCTAATGTTGGGAGTGTATTGACTAATGATGGGAGTGTACTGTCTAATGATAGGAGTGTACTGACTAATGATGGGAGTGTATTGACTAATGATGGGAGTGTACTGTCTAATGATGGGAGTGTACTGACTAATGATGGGAGTGTACTGACTAATGATGGGAGTGTACTGTCTAATGATGGGAGTGTACTGTCTAATGTTGGGAGTGTATTGACTAATGATGGGAGTGTACTGTCTAATGATGGGAGTGTACTGTCTAATGATGGGAGTGTACTGTCTAATGATGGGAGTGTACTGACTAATGTTGGGAGTGTATTGACTAATGATGGGAGTGTACTGTCTAATGTTGGGAGTGTACTGACTAATGATGGGACTGTACTGTCTAATGATGGGAGTGTACTGACTAATGTTGGGAGTGTATTGACTAATGATGGGAGTGTACTGACTAATGTTGGGAGTGTATTGACTAATGATGGGACTGTACTGTCTAATGATAGGAGTGTACTGACTAATGATGGGAGTGTATTGACTAATGATGGGAGTGTACTGTCTAATGATAGGAGTGTACTGACTAATGATGGGAGTGTATTGACTAATGATGGGAGTTCTACTGTCTAATGATGGGAGTGTACTGACTAATGATGGGAGTGTACTGTCTAATGATGGGAGTGTACTGTCTAATGATGGGAGTGTACTGACTAATGATGGGAGTGTACTGTCTAATGATGGGAGTGTACTGACTAATAATGGGAGTATGCTGACTAATTAGGGGAGTGTGCTGACTAATGATATGGGAGTGTGCTGACTAATGATGCAAGTTTACTCACTAATGATGGGAGTGAACTGACTAATGATGGGAGTTTACCCACTAATGATGGGAGTGTGCTGACTAATGATGGGAGTATGCTGACTAATGATGGGAGTGTGCTGACTAATGATGGGAGTGTACTATCGAGTGATGGGAGTGTGCTGACTAATGATGGGAGTGTACTGACTAATGATATGGGAGTGTTCTGACTAATGCTGGGAGTGTACTATCTAGTGATGGGAGTGTGCTGTGTAACAGTGGAGGGACAGAAAGAAGAGGTTAGAGAAAAGTTATGGTATGTGCAGGAAGATCGAATAGAATAGGATATGATTAGGCGAGAGAGAATGGTTTGGGAGGGAAGTACACCTTCTTTCATTTGCAATTGAACAATTGACCACTTGCCTTTAACAATCAAAAGAATTTATTCAACAATCTTTAAAATCAGTAACAGCCATGAATATTTAATTTTTGAGTATACTTACACAAACATCAACAACACAATGAATTCTGGGATAAATATATGTAATTATGTAATGTCTTTAGTCTTTAGTATGTAGTAGCTACATAAAACATACGTTTGCTTAAAAAGAAACAAAGAAAAAAGGGCCTTATACTAATAGCTAAATACATTGGTGTCATGATACTTCCACGAAGCAATTCACAGTAAAGGCCTCGTACACCTTGGTGGGTTGTTTCTGCCTGGCTGTAAGGTAGGGATGGAGGTAGGTGAGGGTGGGAGGGGTAGTGGGATTGGGGAGAGGAGTGTCATATCAGCATCCCGTTGACTTGCCTTCCTCCTCTGCCTCACGAATAGTAACCTGTTAGGTAAAAAAGAACCCATGAGTGTATAGAAGGTTTTTGTTGTAAATTGTTTCAAGTGGAACAAACGGTAAGGCAGTAGGTTATACTCTATTACTGTAGACCTACTGTATATTAATTGAAGATGTCTCGGCGCTCAATACATTGAACCAAGTAGGTGTTGACATGGTTATAGTTCTGCGACACAACATGTTTCGTGACACTAGGCAGTGCAAATTCCACGCCAATTTGCAAAATGTTCTCCCTCAGTGCATTGAGAGTCACTCCTTCTTGCCTGGCGTGGGCCGCGTTGCACCGTGGAGCTTCACGGTGGAGGTACTGCTTCAGGTATGATTTAAACACAGAGAAACAGTTTTCTATGGGGTTCAAACAAGGAGAGTATGGAGGGAGAAATTTAAAATTCAGCTCGGGATAGACTGCTGCGATACCGTTGTGAATTGGAGCGTTGTCTAGAACAAGTATGGATCTTGCGTCTCCGATTATTGCTGCAAGTGATGCGATGAAATCACTGAATACTTCCTTCGTCACTGAACCATAGTGAATTTCGTGATAGAGTATTCCACAGTGTTCAGCTATCGCAGCAATCACTGTCGTGTTTCTGCCACGCTGTCCACCAACGGCGCGATGCACACGCTCCCCGCATCTTGCCCTGCCGTACGTCCTCTTGGTCCACAGATTGAACCCTGGAAATGAAACATCAGTGTATGTAGTCATACTGTAATGTAATTAAACATTAACACAAGGAAAGTTGTACGATGCATCAAACTGAGATCAATATTAAGTACTCACTCGTTACATACAGTTTAGTTAAGTAATTATGTAGTACATACTACAGATAGTTGATAAGTGGTTACATAATTACATACCTGTCTCATCAATGTATACTAGTTGCTGCTGTAGACCCGTCGCCAGCATCCACGTAGCGTACGCGTGTCTCGCCTCCCTTACTGCGGGAGAATTTCTTTCTGCTGGGGGGTCACGGGACATTTTCAGTGATATCAGCTCCCCCTCCAAACAACGCGAAAGCGTTACCTCACTGAAATGTGGTTTTGTAGGAAATATATCCATGACCTCCTCCTTTATCTCTCTCAAGGTCATCATAGGGTTTGCTTCAAGCAGCATCACTATTAGATCTTGTGTCTGCCTCCTGCGTGAGCCGCTTCAACCCTGTTTTCGCGTTGGTATACTCGCACAATGGAGTATGCCGTGGTGCGCTGAACTCCAAGGGCTGCTGCAACTACGAGGAAATCTTGTTCGGCTCTGTAGGCCTCGATAATGCGCTCGCGATCTGTAGCACTTGTTATTCGGTGCCTCCGTGGCATGCTGGAGGGGCTCGGCGACGAACTGTATACGGGAGAAGCTGCACACTCGTAATGAAAATACTGAGTGTGTAGCACACCATCTCGACTCGGTGATTCGTTACTTGCTTCAAAAGTTCGAATTAGATCAACTAGTCTTTCGATCTACGAAAAACACCAAAACATAAACTTTTTGCATAGTTATGATGTTTTAAAGATTGTTACTTAGTTTTGTAAAATGTTGAAAGTATTAGTGAATTGTCAATGAAGAATGAGACGATTGTTGAAAGCAAGTAAACATTGTCACGTGTTGAACGACTGTTGAAAAGTTTTGGATGATTGTTGAACGGAAAGTAAAGATTGTTATTAATCAAGTGTAAGAATGTTGATTCCATTCGAAGATGTTGAAACCAAAAGTAACATTGTTCAATTGCAATTGAAAAAAGGTGTATGAGGTGGGAAGGAAGGATGGGGTGAGAGGGAAGGATGTGGTGGGAGGAGAGTATGGGAACACTTCTAAAAGGTGGAGGAAGGATGGAGGTGCACTAATTTTTAACTTACCGGATGACTTAGATTTTACCTGAAGTCAACGATGTAAAATTCAGCAATGTCTTAAATTGATTTGTTTCACCCAGTTTATTTCACCAAAAGATTAACCACCGTAATGATAGCCTAGCCTAACCTAACCTAACCTAACCTAACCTAACCTAACCTAACCTAACCTAACCTAACCTCACCTAACCTAACCCAACCCAACCCAACCCAACCCAACCCAACCCAACCCAACCCAACCTAACCTAACCTAACCTAACCTAACCTAACCTAACCTAACCTAACCTAACCTAACCTAACCTAACCACCCTAGATAGCGTTAAGGTTTATTGTCATCAGCTGAAATAATAAAGGCGTTAATCTGCAGGTGATCGGTTGACTTTGTTGTAGGAGAAGTTAGAGATATAAAGTCGATCGTGTTTGGAATTATAAGAGGAGAGTCTATAATGATGCTCTGCGCTGACCATAATAAGCCGTGTTGTTATGTCTTCCGCTGAACTGTTGAACTTAGGAAACTGATTTTATGATTACAGACGAGAGCAACTACATGAGCATTGATAAGAGGTGATGCATTGGAAAGAAGAGGAAGTAGTAAGTGGTGGAGGAGGGGGATAGTGGTGAGGGAGAAGAGGGGAGGGGTAGGATGAGGATAATGCTGAACGAGGGGAGGGAATAGGATGAGGATAATGGTGAAGGAGGGGAGGGAGGGGAGGGGTAGGATGATGATAATGAGGAGGGAAGAGAGGGCTAGGATGAGGATAATGGTGAGGGAAGAGAGGGATAGGATGAGGATAATGGTGAGGGACGGGAGATAGGGAGGGGAGGGAGGGGAAGGGAGGATGGGGATAGTGGTGAGGGAAGAGAAGGATAGGATGAAGATAATGGTGAGGGAGGGGAAGGGTAGGATGAGGATAATGGGGAGGGAAGGAATGGATAGGATCAATGTTATCGCCGCTGGCTTCAACTACAGTGCTGGCGTTGCCTTACCCGAACAAACATTAAATCTATCAGCCTGCAACCACGTGTGCCGCCCCCCCGGCGCGACCTGCACAAACAAGATGCCCTGATTCTACTGAGTGTATGGTTCAGAGGGTGGCGTGGCCGCCTGGCCTCCATGATGCAGATCACACTCTCGAGTGATGCTGTGAGGAACAGCCCTCTGTGGTGAACACCGACTCCCAATACTGGCCGAGTTTTGTGCTGGAACAATTTACACACTATTATTGTCCCTTGGAACACCATACTGGTTCGCATTGACCCACACTTGTAAGTACAGCCAAAGTGATGACAAACTGGACTGGAAGACCCATGTAAATAACACAGTCAAGGCAGCCTCGTACCGTCTCTACATGTTACAACGACTTAGGTCACTTGGGACACCCACGCCAGAGCTGAGGACCATCTACAACGCCTTTATTCTCCCCAAACTAACGTATGCGTCACCAGCCTGGTCGTCTTCTCTCAACTCCACCCAACAATGTCGGCTAGAGAAGGTACAGAAAAAGGTCTGCAGAATCATGCTTGGCGCAGAATACTCCGGCTACATCAACGCTCTCTCCACCCTGGAAAAGCCATCCCTCAGTGACCTCCACCACCAAGCACTGGAAAGGTTTGGCAGCCAACTAATGCACCACCCTCGTCATCGCCACCTCCTGCCACCGGCAGCCCCCCACCCACCTCGCGCAGTCCACCACTACAACAAAATTCAGCCCATAAGAGCCCGCACCAATAGATATAAGAATAGCACCATCCCATCTATTGTTAAAATAATAAATAACTCCTGATTTATGTACTGTACAGCCCTGTAAAGGTATTCAATGCATATTATATCATTATGTCTAAATCAAATGTAAGTCTGTATATTTTTAGCCACCGGCTGCAACTCTATTAATAAACCGTTTATTATTATTTATTATTTATTATTACAGTACCCCTCAGTACTGAAATATTTTGGATTAATTATGCCTACTCGTTTCTGCCTTATCTGGAGCAATAAGACAATGCGGAATGCAGTGTAACTAAGATAAATAGAGTTATGAACTTTGTATCACGTCACTATGCTTAATAATCATTTGTAATTAAGATGAAATCGTGTGAGACTAAATAATATGTATCAGATAGATCACCATGTAATACGAATGAACGCCTTGTACTCTGCAGGTTTTGATCACATCAATAAATATTGAATGCATCAAAAGGCTGGTTTCAATCATTCCCTTCGACTTGCCCATCACCTGAACATCCTTAACTAAGGCGTTTACAATGAGGATAATGGTGACGGAGGAGGTAAGATGAGGATAATGATAAGGGATGGGCAGGATGAGGATAATGGTGAGGGAGGGGAAGGATAGGATTAAGAATAATGGTGAGGAAGGGGAGGGGTATCATGAGAATAATGGTGAGGGAGATTTTTTTAGATTGCCTCCCGAGGGGGCTAGTTTATTGGGCACCTCCATACATCCTGTGCAAGGTGAAGCGTTTACAGCGCCCATCTGGGAAGCAGTCGGAGTTCATGCTTGCCTTTATGACTCATGCATTAAGGGCGTAAAAGCCTGAAGGGTCATGGATTTTGTCAGCAGGTTACATAAAGTGACAGAATGATCAGTGTGTGGGGGGAAAATTCCCGGCACAATTTATCTGTTTATGGAAAAGCGTGGTAGGTCCCTAATAATGTCAAGTAACAGGCCATAAGCATTGACAATATTGAGGGATATACCTTTTAGTGTGAATCCTTCTTGGCGTAGATACGTAGTCCACTAGCATGCCCACATGGTGGTCAATCGATGTGGAGAACTAGAGTGGATGGGCCCCAGGTGCCGGCATGCTGGTGTGGGACGGGGGGCCAGGGGTGGTGTCCTCGGATCCATGAGCAGGTGCAGCTTGCAGTGGGTGGACAGGGGCAGGAGGGCACACCAGGGTAGGCTTGGTAGGTGCCAAGCCAGCAGTGATGCCAGGCGGTGGTGGAGTAGGCCGTGAACAAGAGGGGCACACAAGGGGGCTACCAGCTTGTGTCAAACCAGAAGAAGGGGGTGACTGGGTAGCAGCTGGAGGCAGGGGTAGTCTGTGTAGGTTAGAGATGGCGGTACAGAGTGTATCAAAGAGTCTTTCGATACGGTTGGTAAATTCGTGTAAGAGTGATATGATCTGTGTCGTGTCATCGGAGAGGGGGATTGTGGGGGAGCACCTGTGGGAGCACAAGGCCTGACAGCTTCAGAGTAGAGACAGGGAGGAGGCCCAGTAGTAGTTGAGTTAGTAGATGGCTGGGACTGCTGTGTTGCAGCCAGGTGAGGCCAGGCAGGGGCAGGTGTTGTTGAAGAAGGCGTTGCCAGAGGAGGGGACAGAGGGATGCGGCCCAGTAGCCTGGAGGAGGGGGGGAGGTTGAAGTTGACTCAACCTTCGGGGAGGCTTTTCTCCAGGGACAAACGAACGTTTGGGGCATTGCCGTGAGTTAGCATTGCACCAGCCACCAGAATTACAACAACTGGGGTCAATAACATATCCCACACCACCCCCATTGAGGTGGTGGTCTTTGATTATCTGGGCACAGATGGAGGAGTGATGGTTACGTGAACAGAAGCGACATCTGGGACGATCACGTCAGCAGCAGGCGGTGAAGGTGTGACCAAATGGTGAGGGAGGAGGATAAAAGTCAGTGATGAGGTAAGTAGGATCACTCACTAAAGCCATGTCAGGGAGATGTACTGCACACACTGTAGGGAATGGTGATGTACACACTGTAGGGAGTGGTGATGTACACACTGTAGAGAATGGTGATGTAAACTCTGTAGGGAGTGGTGATGTAAACACTGTAAGGAGTGTGATGTACACACTGTAGGGAGTGGTGAAATACACACACTGTAGGGAAAAGTGATGTACACACTGTAGGGAGTTGTGATGTACAGCCTCTGACACTTCCATCTGCTACAGTCAGCATTGTCAATCCTCATCTCCGAGAGTTGTGAACCACTGGAGTATGAACCCGCGTTCGAAGCATTCGCTCATGACATGGAGTGGGGGACCTAGGGCAATGTGTGAGAGGAGGGTGACTGGTATGGGGGGTGAAGAGGATAGGAGTGGTGGTGGGCTAGAGGAATCGTGTGGCTAGCAAGACTGGACTTTTTATTATTTAGAAGCATA